CAAGGCGCAGAAGGACATGAATCAGGTTCTGTCCGCCCACTTATTACAGCCTGCATGGGTCTTGGTAACCTGGGCATGGACACAGGAGCATTTTAATTTGGCACTCCATAATGGGTAGATGGTTCATCGCACATATTCCGGCCCCTCAACTCAAACCTGTTCAGCCCTACCAGATATTATAGTTTTCGTTGGTATAGCCTCGACGGTCAACAAAGAATACAAGTCCGTCGACGCGTTAAGGCTGTGACCTTGCAGAAGTTAAGTAACAGTTTTTCTGTGTAATTAAATATCTGAGAAGATTATTTAAATGTTCAATAGAAAATGACAATCATAGACAAACGAAGTTCTGATTTGTTCCAAAGAAGACTTCAGCGGAAGTTTCTATTTCTCATTAAATGGTCTCATAAGTGCAATTTGGCCAGTGCTGAAGTAGTCATCAATTCTGTAGACGTCTTACGGCAGTCGCCGCTGTTTTCGTAAATCACGAGAAAGTTATGCTGCGACAGCTGTAGGAGAGAAACCTCGATCTTGCATCACTTTTCTCATAGTGGCCGCATCCTCGCGCATTGCGTTCGTGTCTTGATTGCTTTCGGTCTGGATTTGTTGTGCTGTCCAGCAGAAAGGACCGTGATTGGACGAAGTTGTGAAATGCCGTATTGTAAATGACATCCGTTTAGATGTTAAAGTAGTTTAGACCCAACATTTTTGTCAATCACAAGTCCAACGCTCCCTTGGTTTTGCAGACAAGGTAAAATTATCAGTGTACTACACTGTAAAGGCGACGAAGGGAGGAAAGCCAAAAATTTCAGTTCTTGTGGTCTGTGATAAATTGCAGCTTTTTATATGCTACAGCATAACGTAACCAGGAGCACAGACGACCATCTCACCGGCGCATCTGGCTTCATCGGTTCCTGAAATAATTGACCGTCAAACAATACAATTTTTCAATAAAAATCAATGCTATTAAATGTAATTAATTGTACGACTCCTCGTTAGTTGCATAAAAGAACTGGTTTCGAGTCTAAACGGCAAACGGCTTATTGGACATTTCAAACATTGAAATATCATGTGATGTACTACGTAACATAGGGATGAAATAGCTACAGAAACTGACACACATGCAACGTAGATGCGCCTTGAAAAAAAAAATGAATTCTTGACGCCAAGGATGGACCGTCATTATACAAAGAGAAGCATTTCCGAAATGAACTGCAGTTTCTCTACAGCTGCCCGCCGCATTTAGTTCATCCGGCTGTTAAACTAATATCAGTGTTAAAGATTAGTAAAAATGCAGATACTATCCACAAACGAAACTCAAATCACCTTACTATATCTCAAGGTGACGAAGGCCAATGAAGTGGAACCGAATTTTTTTGGAGCAAAACAAATGGGGAAATGTTGTCTTTAAACGGGTGTGGTAAATGGTGTCTTTGTTGTCTTTATTGGTTGCGCGTAAACCCTTCACGCTGATGCATGAGCTTTTCATGTGTGAATCCAAACATGATTAGCGTTGGCTAGAGGCCAGCGGACAACCTGGATGAATAAGGTGGATATTGGTTAGGAAAGAATGCCTTCCTATACGATGCTGTGGCATGATAACAACGTTGAAAAGCTGAGAAAGAGCACGTATCACAAACCGAATGTTCTGGCACTGCAAATGACAGATTGATTATCACAACTAGCAACAACATTCAAGAACTCAGGCTAAAGCTCCTTGAAATACCCGTCAGTAAACAGCTGGCAAGACGAACAGGATTTCATAATGAACTAATCCCAGTGATAAATACCTAGGCAAATGATAGGCATATATCACAGTTCAAAACAAAAGCCTGGCATATTCATAATTCATTTTTTTAAGTAAACATAACATTAAAAAATGTTGCAGAGTATCAGTTGGCACGATTAACTGTCTTTCAATTTTACGTTTCCAAATAGAAATGATTAATGCTTCTCGCTTCATTAATGGACATTCTTGCCTGCAGGAAGTTTACCACATCACTATTCGAAGCCTTAAGCGATGAGTGACAATAAATCTTTATCATGAACAAACAGGCTGGCTGTCAAAATCAGTGCTGACAAATATTTCAGTGAATATGACGACGATCGAGTAATCGACGAAGTCATACAACTTAGCGCGTAAGAGTGCTAATGAGTACTAACCACAATAAAGTTGTTTAGCAACTGGAAACAATTTTTAGTTTTTCTCGAGCTGGGACTTCGCTTAGTCAGAACCCCGACTACGAGCTTCCGGCTGATCACCCAACCAATTTTATAAACACCATTT